AATCTTTCATACATGGAGTGAGGAGATATATGGGTTCGGGATCTCAGGATCTTACACAACGCTGAGTGCCCAAGTTTTTTATATTCCAGATCCATCTAAGTTAAGGGTGAAAAAGGGTCGACGCCAAACTAGACGCATCAGAAATGATATGGATGAGTCAGAAGCAGGTGGGAGGACTTTACGCTGCAGCAAGTGTGATCTGCGCGGCCATACTTACAAGAAATGCCCGAAGAATGCAGAAGTTCCAAGCGGCGCAGATGCTAGTCCATCTGGACAGGCAAGTGATGGTAGGCGACCACCTGGTGAAGGAACAACAAGCAGGCGCGCAAGGCCAAGGCGTCGTCGCGCAGCAGGCGATTCCATGGTGTAACAATGCTTTCGATTTAGGAAATAAAATGCTGTTGTGATGTAATGAGTGTTCGGACTAAATACTTCTATCGTGTAATTTCAATTCAATGTTGTTGTAATGAGTACCTCCGACTATTGTTGTACTAGTAGTATTGCGAATTATTCGGTGTTGTATCATAATGTTATCGTGATGAGTGTTCGGACTAAACACTTTTGTTTGTTTGTACTCTTGTTTAATATGTGTTAGTAATTCGCTTAGTTCAACATTTATTACTTATGTTGAACTAATTATTTATATGTTTCTGATCAACCTATTTGATGCAGGTATGGCGTACGACACACCGGCGCTGTTGAACCGTGGGATTGACAGGAACCACCGCTCGTTCCTGTCAGCAGTCGAGGGTGCACAGCTCGGCACCTTCCGTCCACGCACGTCGCGCGAGTGGTTGCGTGTCGACCCCCGTCACGTTCCTTGGTACGCGTATGTTCACATTTCAACTCAACTTTGCTCTGTGTTGTACTTATGTTTGAAGTTTGCTCTATACAGGTTGCGTGCGGCAGGCCTTCTACCACTTTGTAGGCTTGTTGAGGCGGCAGCGGACGACCGTGACCCAGCGAAGCGGTGGGATGCAGATCGGTCACTCCTTGCCGCTCTTGTAGACCGCTGGAGACCTGAGACGCACACGTTCCACCTTCCCTGTGGGGAGATGGCTCCGACACTGCAGGACGTGTCGTACCTGCTCGGGCTACCGCTGGCGGGAGCAGCAGTTGGTCCCGTGGACGGTGTTTTTGGGTGGAAGGAGGATATCACTGCGCGCTTCGAGCAGGTGATGCGCCTTCCACACCTAGGACCGACCATCACCCTTCCTCCGTACTCTACAGTCGGGCCTAGCAAGGCTTGGTTGCTCCAGTTCACTGTAAGTAAATAAGTTGTTATTATCATACGTGCTTATTTGCGACCGAATGAGTGTTTTGTACTAACATTTCATTCTTAATTGTAGGCGGACCTTCTGCACCCTGACGCTGATGATTACTCGGTCCGACGCTCCCTTGAGGCGTACCTGTTGTGGTTGTTCGGGTGGGTGATGTTCACTAGCACCCACGGGCACGCTGTGGACTTCCGGCTGGTCCACTACGCACGGTCCATCGCGGATGCTCAGCCACAGGACGTGCCGCAGTGGAGCTGGGGTTCTGCCGTGCTAGCAGCCACGTACCGTGCCCTCTGTGAGGCGTGCACGAAGACTGACGCGGGAGCGATCATCGCTGGCTGCCCTATGTTGCTTCAGCTTTGGGCAGCCGAGAGGTTTGCCATAGGTCGACCAGTGGTGGACAGCGCACCCTACGGGGTTGGTCGCAGCGCGCAGTGGCCAGAGGACGGTCCCACGATGGGGACTTACTGGTGTCGACGTGGGGTTAGTGCAACTTCGCTGCGTTATAAGTTTATCAGTCGTCTTTTTTTTTTCTTCACATAACATGTCTAATTCCGATCATGTTTATTGCAGCGTCGTTACGCTCACGTCCAGGTGAGACGTGGTTACCCGGACTTCGTGTTCGAGTTTGACCGTCTCCAGCCGAGCGACGTCATCTGGGAGCCGTACACAGAAGATGCCGTCGCTGCGAGAGCACCGCTAGGACTTTTGTCCTTGTGCACACGCGACCAGGCTTACTGGCTCACCATCCTGCCGATGGTGTTCGACATTTTCGTTGAGCCTCACTGCCCGCAGCGTGTGATGAGACAGTTCGGACTTAGGCAGGTGTTTCCGGGCAACGTGCAGCCGACCGTCCTCCCTGCCGACCACTCGTGAGTTCGGATTGTTCATTTCTAAATTTTTATGATAATTACTTCATCGAGCCATATAATTTACCTCTCTTCACAGGTTGACTCGACGGGGACAGCTAGCAGGCGCACTTTGGGCTCCACGTGTACAGCAGTACGTTGACGACTGGGTGTTAGCTACAGAGGAGGTGATCAACGAGCTCTTCCCACACACGGAGGAGAACTACCGTGACTACCTTCGTTGGTACCTTCCTCGCACTCGTGCGCGTGTGACCTTCACTCCAGACGCCCTAGAGCCGCACGTTGCCGCTGTCACGGACGCGTATCCCACGCACCGTGACCGAGACTACTTCGTGGCGGTACATCCAATTTGTATTACTTCTTACAATTATTTCATTTATCTTGCATAATATAGGACAACTACTGAATTTGTTATTTCCATCTTGCATAGGCTGATGCCGCACGGGATATCAGTGCCGATATCACCGCAGTCCAAGTGAGGTTGAACAGAGGTTTGCACTTGACTGACGTTGAGCAGAGGGTGACCTTCGACCGGATGCAGGAGAAGATGCGTGCGGTCATGCGCGTCTTCTCCTGTCGCAGCGCCGTGGACGTCGTACCTCCAGCTGGTCCGGTACAACCACGGCCTCGCGCGCCTACCGTCGGAGCAGGACCTCGACCTACGACACCTATTTCGCACGGTACTGCTCAGCCCAGAGGTTTCTTAAGTTTTGTTTCTGTTTTTGTACGAAAACATCACCCCGTCGTAACTTGATGATCCATCCTCGCAGGACCTCGTTTGCCTTCGAGCGCCCCTAGCTTCGGATCAGTGCGACCTACAGCACCGGTTTCGCACAGTACAGTTCAGCCCAGATATTAGTTCATTTTTGTTTCAGCTTTTGCACGATTATGTCACCATGTTTTAACTGCACGTTTCCTCATCGCAGGACCTCGTCTGCCTTCGAGCGCGTTCGCAGGCACGACCGGCGCTTCCACGAGCTCCGCAGGGGCGTTCGCCACCTCTTCGGGCGCGTTCGCCAGCTCTTCCTCTCACGGAGCGTCGATCCCTCGCCCACACGGTACTTTACTTTTTATTAATACTGTTAAATACCTGTATGAAACTGATGGTCCTTGTCCAGCAGGATTTGCAGCCGGGATCTTCGGTACTGGGGCCTCTTCGTCTCACGCCGGTAGGACTGGTCCTACTAGCCAGTTCTACGACGACGACTTGCACGGTGCAGACCACCACGACGTACTAGGCTCCTCTCAGCTTGGAGGAGCTCCAGAGGCGCACACTCAGGAGCAGCCAGAGGTCACACCTGTACAGGCAGGACGGGTTGGCCGTGCCGTACCCCCGGACCGACTCACGTACTCCCACGGGCACATTAGGGCGCAGGGTAGGAGGGACAGGGGTAAGAGGCCTCGTCAGTAGTGTTCTACCTCTTCAGTCCTTATGTGACCGTTTCTTTTGGCTTACAAACTTGTAAAGCAGTACTACTTTTGCTATTACTACTGCAGTACTACTTGTGTTTGTCTCGTCTACATAGTTCTTTTCATTCATATGGTGCTAGAACAACTTATGCTCACGACAACACACTTTCGGCGCTGCACGGTAGTGTCAGATCCAGTAGCGCGCACAGTCCACAACAGCACACATGAAAAGCGGCAGCTCGAGTTATCACTATCAACTTTCGGCGCTGCCTGTTTACATAAAGTGAATCACGCCCACGCGTGATCGTCTTGTCACATCTAATGAATAATGTATCTCATTGAGTTCACATATATTGCAGTGAAAACGACGCTATATAATTGACAATCTGAAGGCAACCTCTTCATATCTTCTTTCCCACTAGCACACAACACACGAAAATGGAAGCCTATTCATTGGTAATACGTAATCTAGATTTGAGATTATGTAGAACATTCTTCACTACAATTTTACATTTTGGCAGCAAACCAAATATGATCAAATGCAATTTTACCTTACCAAATATTTGGTCGTGAAGAAAAATTTGGCACTAACAATCCAAATATGCCCTAAAAATTAATAAAATATTTGTACGGTAACAAAATATTTGTACGGTAACAATCCAAATATGCCCTAAATAATAATAAAATTGTATTTTACCAGTCTTGGAGATTTTAATCTTGTATAGTTTTCAATATAAAAAGATTTGATAACTATTGATATTTATACAAAAATATAGAGCACAGTACAAAATCGCCCTTGCGGAGGGCGGCAAGGGGGCCGCCTGCAAAATTCCATGCCCCCTCGCCGCCCATTTGCAGGCGGCCCTCCGCACAGTACAAAATCGCCCTCGCGGAGGGCGGCAAGGGGGCCGCCTGCAAAATTCCATGCCCCCCCTCGCCGCCCATTTGCAGGCGGCCCCCCGCACAGTACAAAATCGCCATCGCGGAGGGCGGCAAGGGGGCCGCCTGCAAATTTCGTTGACGGCCGTCGCCCGAGAGCGAACGGCCGTCTGCCACGTCATTTTCGCCGCCCTCTGGGAGGGCGATTTTTAAAAATCGCCTTCCCAGAGGGCGGTAGGCGACTACTTCCGTCAATTTTCAAAATGGAAAATTATTTTTGTAAAACTTTTAATAAAAAAAATTAAAAATAAAAAAAATTCGAGGGGAGAAAGGGGGAATATTCAGTGCAAGGTCGGCAGCTTGGCATAATTCACTGGCATGTCATGTCACATTATCACGGCACCGGCCGGCCCAATGCATAGCCCAGATATCCATCTGAACCAATAGGCCCAAAAGACTAACCAGCTCTCAGTCTCAGCCTCCGGCCTGCAACAAAGTGGAGCGCCTTGCCGCCATTTCGCCGAGCGCCTTCCCGGCGAGCCCGCGCTCCACGGGGAGAGTCCGCCGCAGCGCCAGCGCATTCGGCGACACCACGCCGCTTGGCAACACACAACGATTCCGGACTAGGTACCCACCGCCGCGAGCCCCCCGAGCGGCCGAACGCGCAGCTGCTCCGTGTCGAAGCGGAGGCCGCTGGCCGCGCGAGTCCGAGCGGCGAGCGAAGCGGCGGAATCCATCGATGGCCGGGTTCGGGCCTCTTCGGTTCGCGTTCCATTTCGTGCAAGCGAAGGCACCACCCGCCCTGACGCGGCTATAAATCCCCCATTATCTGATCGAACCGGTAGCCACCCCACCCAGTCACCCACCCGCGCTCGCCAAAAATGTTAGAGCCCACGAGATACTACTATCGCCGCCGCCGCGGGCGTGGCGCGGTGGCGGCGGCCCGGCGGTTGCCGACGGTGGCCGCCATGGACAGGGCGAAGTGGGGGGACCTCCCCGAGAACGTCCTCCTCGGCTTCACCGCCTGCCTCCCCTGCCGCGCCGACCGCGTCCGCATGGCCTGCGTCAACAGGCAGTGGCGCGCCGCCGTGCGGGAGGGGCCGCGCCCCCCGCCGCCGGCGCCCCAGCTCCCGCCGCTCCCGCCCCAGCTGCCGTGGCTCATCTTCCCCAGCTCCGCGACGCCCTCCTTCTACAGCTGGATCGGCCGCACGAGCCACCCCCTCCCGCTCCCGCCCGACGTCCGCGTCGCGCGCTTCTGCGGCTCCTCCGACGGCGGCTGGTTCGTCCTCGCGCTCGACTCCAGCCACCGCTACGCGCTCTACAACCTCAACTCCGGCCACCGCGTCGAGCTCCCGCCGGGGATCGTGTCCCCCTCGGGCAAGCAGTTCCCCTTGGTCGCGCGCTTCGCCACCCTCTCCGCCTCGCCGCCGACGCCGTCGTCGTCTCCTCGGCCCTACATGCTCGCCGCCGTCGTCCTCGTGTCGCGGCGGCTCGACGTCGCGTTCTGGGTCCAGGGGAGCAAATGCTGGTTCCCGCACAGGGGCCCGAGGCTGAACCAGCCGCAGGACGTCGTCTACTACAACGGGGGCTTCTACTTCGTCACCGCCGACGAGGGCGTCGTCGTGTACTGGCCGGGGTACGGCCGCCTGACCAACAACCAGATGCGGATGCGCCGCGTGGAGTACAACATGCTGCGGCGCGACGATTACCTCGAGGACATGGGCTTCATCGGAGGCAACGGATCCATCACGCGCTACCTCGTGGAGTCCCGGGGCCAGCTGCTGATGGTCGCGAGGTACATCTACAACGAGGGCGGCACGGAGGTGCTCCGCGTGTTCAGGTTCCATGTCATGCCGCTGACGCCCGCCGCCGCCATCAGCGGGCGACCTCGCGCCACCTGGTTGCCCGTCGACTACCTGGAGGGGCGGATGCTGTTCGTGGGGAAAGGCTGCTCCAGATCGTTCGAGGCCGCTCGGTTCCCCGGGTTCGAGGACGCCATCATCTACTTCCTCGACGAGGGCTTCGTCCACGACACGACGGCGTCGGCGGCGGTGCAGGAGAGGCCGCGCTACTCGTTCACCGACATGGGCAGGTACGAGATGGACGACATGGCCAGCGAGGCGTGGCCTCCGGTGGATCGCCGCCCGACGACGTCGGACAACGCTCCCCCCACTTGGTGGTTCCCCTGACCTGACCATGCGCTCTCCGGCCCGGTTACTCTTCAGCTTATGATGATACTTGCATACGCTTCATTTTCATCATGAGTATGGTTGAATTGCTGTTATGAGATGATCAAATTGTTTGATAACACTAGTAGGATTGCAGGAGAATGAATGATACGTGCGTATGTGCCTCAGTTGATGGTTTCGAGGCTTCAGTTCAGGTCCTGCGAGGCTGCAAGCCTGCAACAAAGGATCTCGGGGAAATTTTGCTTTACTGATTGTTGCCCCATAACTGCTGTGTCGTTTGGTTCACCGTTTTTCAATTCTCATTTGTTCAGGATTTCAGGTCGGTTTAGCTTCAATGCGATGATGATATGTCAAGGGAAAATGTGATGATGTACCGTAGTGGCCGAAGGTGTCCTCTTCTTCCTTTCATTTTGCAAGCAAGACATGTGTTCTTGCAGGTATTTTGCAGCTGAAATTTTCCTTGCGATCAAGACATCTGTTTTTTGCAGGTATTCTGCAGCTGCGGTTTTTCCATGAAGTCTCTGGTTTTCTGTTCATGTTAATGTTTAGCACAAGCCATGAAGGATTTTTCTCACTCTTTTTGTTACCTTGTCAAATGAGATCCTAGAACTAAAAATATTGGATTTTACTTAATAGTTAATACAAGAATGCACAAATCTTTTGCGTATTCCCTAAACCAGCGCATTAGTGTTTTTGCTGGAATTGCCAGTGGAATTTATTTTTCTAGCAATTCATGCTGATTGCTGATGCAGCGGTGCTGCCACAGCTAGCCCACAAGTTCGCTCTCCGGCATTTTGTCAGAACCAGATCAAGCAATCATTTTATCTGCTTAGTAATTAGTCTTAGTCAATAAATCAGACCTGAATGATGTTGATTTCTCATATGAAACTATGAAATCGTTGATTATATGATGGTGGCTGCTAAAAAAAAGCTGGTTTTCAGATTACACTGATTGCTTCAGCGCATATCTTTGTCTAAAAAATGTGTTGTGGCTTCTTCTGATGAGCATAGCACAACCGGCTAGTGCAAGCACATAGTAGATCATTTTTTTTTTCATGATGAAATACAGAGTAGATTAATTACCATGGAAGATTTTCTTAAGATAATATTACCATGGAAGATTGGAAGCGGTTTTCCATTTTATTATTAGGCATCTTATTCCTAACTGAGTGAAAGGCTGAATGCGGAATGCCCTGTTTCTAATCAGTTCACTGTGTGCTTATGTTCATCGATTATACATTTATACTAGTCGATATTGTAGTTTGTGTTAGTCAGCAGCTGCTGAATAGGTAGGGATGTAAGTTTTTCCTAGAGCTTCCAATTTTCAGTTTCATGAGTAGGATTTTTGGTCATGCCATAGACTTGATTTGCATTACAAACTGCGATATCTGGTCAATTAGTTACACTTAAAAAAGGCATGCCAAAACGTTTTTTTTTCACGAACGCGAAAAAGATTGCACGTCAACATATTAAAAGAAAACAAAATTTCAATTACTCAAAGCAATGGCCGGAAGCCATTACAAGGGTACAAGAAATAAAACTAGAGCGAAGAGCCGACTAAAGGAAACTTAAAGGACTAAGGCTGTGTTCGATACTAGATGTTGGGAACTACTACAGTGCACGCAAAAGGGAGCAACTCATTAGCGCATAATTAATTAAATATTAGCTTTTTTTGAAAAAATAGATTAATATGATTTTTTAAAGCATTTTTCCTATAGAAAAATTTTGCAAAAAAACACACCGTTTAAAAGTTTGGGAAGCGTACGTGGAAAATGATGGAGAGTGAGTTGGGAACAACGGAGGAACGAACGCAGCCTAAGACTTCGGAGCTAGTTGAGACACGAGAATTACATGCCAAAACGTCAATTACATATAAGTCGAATGCATGTGGTGTTCTTAGAGCATTACACCAAGAGCAGAAGAGCTCAAGGGAAGCATATTAGATGCTGTTGGTGATGCTCTTACCTTGAATTTTAGGGCTAACATGGGTTGCTACACCACCAAATTTCGGTATCATAAATTTTTGGTAAGATAATAAACCAAATATTAAAACCTCTCACTACCCAAAAAAGAATTGAAAATACCTATATATTCTCCTCACATTGGTTCAATTTTGATACCAAACCTAAATATTTATGAACCCTTTCAGAATTAGCACAAGTTTTTTGATTTTTTTGTCCTAAAATGGAAATATCTTGAAACTGAAGCTAAGCGTAGTGGGCCAGGAGCCCATTCACGAAGCCCAGTCTTCGAGCCCGCGTAACTGCTAAAGGCCATCTCGTCGTCGTCCTCCTCCCCAACTCCCCCCAACTGCCACCGCCTCAAAACCCTAGACAACTAGACAACCCACTACTCCTCGCTTAAACCCCGCCGTCCCCGCACCGCATGCTCCGCGCCGCCCCTCTTCCCCCCATCCCCCTCGTAGCCCACCGTCTTCCACCCCACCTCTCCGGCGGCGGCGGCGCCGGCGGCGGACGCGGCCATGGCGACCCCGTCGTACGCGGCGGTCAAGTGCCTCAACACGTCGTCCTCCAGCCGCAAGCGCTTCGTGGTAAGAGCATCCGCCCCTCCCCGCGCTTCCAGCAATCTCTCTCTCGCCCCCGCCTCCCCACGGAATCGAGCTCGTGGGCGCGTTTGGCGGCTGCTGATGTGGTTTCGTGCGTCCGTTGCGTGCGTGTGCTCGTGCAGTTCAAGTCCTTCTCGCAGCGGGTGGAGGAGATCGACATCGACGTGTACCGCAGCCTTCACGAGGTGAAGGCGGAGCCATCGAGCGGCTCCTCGTTCTTCCTCGACGCCCTCGTGGAGTGGAGGGTATCACCACTTCATCCCTCTCTTGCTTCCGTTCTTCAATTGTTCCTGGTTAACACTCGCACACTCAGAGCAGCGGAGATGCTAAATGTGGTGCTTAGATCACTAAGGAAAGCTTAAAACTGTCTCAATTAGGTGTCTTAAGTAGTGAGTGGTGTCATGAACTATGATGGATACACATGAATATTATGGTATTGTTTAGAATTTTGTTGTATTGAACAATAACAAACCATTCCCCATTTCTTTTGTTACCGAAATAAGCCACATACTGTTTGTTGACATATATGGAAATTAAGGATATTGCTGTAAAATTAAAATTGTTCAAAGGAAGAGCCTGGGAGATTATGTTATCAGTATTGTTCCTGAAGTACCAATAGCATAGCCTTAATCTACAGATGTATAGGAACTAAAATGTTTACATCTAAGTTATACTTGTGGTGATTTAGTGTGTACACGAAAAATTGCGGATGAGGGGATAATTTAGGATGTTTCCGTCCTAGGCATGCTTGTACATATTTGGTGCATGCATCTGAAGAACTAGATGAGGAGACAATTTTGGTCTTAGTGATGCTTGTATTTATGTGCTTGCTCATAGGCCTAAAACTTTTCAGTTATCTAGGGGATTATATCATTTAAAGCTTTAGGCCCCTTTGAATCGCAGGATTGAGAAAACGTAGGAATAGGAAAAACGTAGGATTTTGATAGGAATGTAAGTGTAAAACAGAGGATAACAAAACGCAGGAAAAACACAGGAATGACCGTTTGATTGAACCACAGGAAAAACACAAGAATTGGATGAGAGAGATAGACTCAAAGGAAAGTTAGCAAGAGGTTGAAGCTCTTGCTAAATTTCCTCCAAAATCTCTATAGGATTGTCCATTCCATAGGAATTTCAAAGGATTGGATAGGATTCAATCCTTTGTTTCAAAGGGCTTCATAGGAAATTTTCCTATAGGATTGAAATCCTCTAAAATTCCTATGTTTTTCCCCCAAATCAAAGGGGCCCTAGTTTGTTGAAACCAGCATCTCATGAATGAACTAAGGACAAACGCAGGAATATGATAGGGTTGCATGTGAAAAATGGAGGATTAGAAAACAAATGAATTTTGTAGGATAGGATATTTGGAACACAGGAATAAAAAATGGAGGATTAGAACACAGGATTCCATCCTATGGCAGCAATGATGAAAAAAAGAGGTTTTGGAGTGAATGTTTGGAATCCTTTGGAACTCCTGTGTTTTCATGGCAAGGCTACAGAACTCCAAAATTCCTTTGTGTGATTCCTACAATCCGAATGTGAATAGTAGCAAATCCAAAAGAATCATGGAGTCCTACAAAATCTGGTGTAAACCCTTTAATCCGAACAAGTCCTCAGAGTGGCCATGAGTTCTGTATGTGCATAAGTTACTGGAACTCTATGGGTTGAACTTGGTCATTAGGTGCAGATATAGACATGTATTTTTCAGGGACTTTCACTTTAATCATTCGCTCTGGTGAAGCTCTTACATTGTCAGTTGTGAGATTAAGGAAACACGTTGGATAAGTTGGTTAATGGCTTTGACTTCTGTTAGGAAATGGAGCAATTGGAATTGCTGCAATAACAACTGTGAACATTGAAAGAATAAATGGATGGTTGTGATCATGTCGGAGTTCAGTGCCTTATTTTTCTTCTAATGATTGGAATTTTCTTGTTATATGTGATTCAAATTTTGCAGCGTATATGGGATTATAATGTGTCATGAGTAGTTTTGTCCTTTTGGCATTGGCAAACTGTGAACATGATGTTTGTCAGTTTGTGATCTTGTGGTGTTTGAAAACGTCCAACTGCTATTATATGTTAGAATTAGAATTATACACTTGACTCCACTGAAACAAAAATAGGTTTATTTAGCTATTAGAATAAGGGTTCTAATATATTGTTCAATCATGAATATTCAGGCACCATTTTCCATGGGATAATGTTTTGATCTCTTAGCTAGCAAGCTAGATATTTGGACGTACAATTTTTTTACATTTTCCCTGTTTTGATTTGATGCTGACTTTGTGTCAGAAATAAATGCTTTACATCCCTTTTGGTGGGGGTTGAGGAGCTATTTCAACTACCTTTTAAGATTGGTGGTTTATAAGTTTGTTGGGATCTTTTGGGGAGCATTTAGCGGTGGAGAAAAAAATGGATGTTATTTGGATGATGGTGACCAGAGATAAGTAGAAGTTTGAATGATGAACTGAAGATGATAGTTAGCTGCACACCATTTGGTCTCTCTGTGCGATATTTGTAGTGTTCTAAAATTAGTTTTTAACGTTTGGAAAGGGATCCAAGTTTAGTTCATTTAAATTGTATAAGTCTTCAGTGATGTGCATTCAGTCTATCAGCTCTTCTAATATTGTTCTTTTCCACTGGTTCAGGAGCTCAATACTGCAGATGACTTCATCTCCTTTTATGAAGAGACAATACATTTGGTACAAACATTGCCTCAAATCGTGTTGCACTGTGAAAAAATATTCTCCGGACTTCTAAAAAGAATAAATATGAAGGCGAGATTGTCACTTGAACCAATACTGATGTAAGTGGACCATGCATTTAGAATGTAGTTGAATACTGTGACTTCTTGCTAGTTAAA